ACAGGAAATATTTTTTGGTATGTTTATAATAATATTTTTGACTTGTTTATAAACTCTCTTTTCAAGTAAAAAAACTTTTTTATCATGTATTTACATGCTTCTGCAGCAAATAATATTTTTTCCATACCACCTTGCGGTAAGTATCTTGGTCTGTTGTTTTTTAAAGAAAAAATTAAAATTCCACAACAATACTTAATTAAAAAAAAAACTAAATAATGTGACATAGAATTTAGTAAAATTTATTTAGTAAATTGATTTAAAGTTATGCTTAGCACTACTGGAATAGCTATTTTTTTTTCAATATTTACCATTCATAGTAACCTGAAAAACTTTTTAAATAATTAAACTCTCAACTAGTCTCCTTTAGTAATAAAAATATTTATTATATGAAAAATTGATTACGAGTGGAGTTAGGCGTAGGAAACCATTTGAAGAAAAAATAAATCAGCAAAGATAATTACAGTGCGAAAGGTATTTTTTATTGAATTTTACTAAATTCTATGTCACATTATCTAGTTTTTTTTTTAAACTAAGTATTGTTGCGGAATTTTAATTTTTTTCTTTAAAAAATTACTTTCCAATATACTTACCGTAAGGTGGTATGGAAAAAATATTATTTGCTGCACAAGCATGTAAATACATGATAAAAAAGTTTTTTTACTTGAAGAGAAAGTTTATAAACAAGTCAAAAATATGGTTATAAACATACTAAAAAATATTTGGTGTTTAACATTACATTATTTAAATTATAAATCGAATTCAAAGGGACCTAAAGATTATTTTTTAACAAAAAATGTGATGCTTCTTGAAATAGTATTTAATAAATAAAATGACTATTGTAACAAAAAACGCTTGAATGAATGATAAAAGTAAAAAAAAAAAAAAAATGCATTGATGAAGAATCGATGGTATATTGGTCAGATTCTACACGCGGGAAAAAGGCGAAGACCGCTCGACCAACGACGAGTATACCCCTCTAAGATATAAGATTGTATTTAAGTGTTAGAGTGAGGGGAGCTTGGGTTAAATGTAAAGGTAGGGGGAGCTCTCCCTCCACTGCCAACCTGGTCGGAGAGAGAGTAAAACCGTTGTGCGCATGCGCTAGAACTCTTGGTTGTTAGAAACACTGACACGGACATGTTAATACCGTCAAGTACAATTACTGCGGGTACCGTGCACGGTATACTGTTTTCACTGTAGACGGTATACAGTACATACTGTGCACGGTTTACGACGGGTTTAAATTTTTAATCAGTCAAAATCTGGGTATACTGTGCATATAGGGCACTGGGAAACGGAAACTGGTACTAAAAAATTGTGCGTAATGCACATTAAAAAAACGACTGTATAGACTAGCTGACAGCATCGATTGATTAACTATTCACCCTAGGCACAGCTACGTACTTACAAAATAAAACAGCTATAGAGTTAAGATAGCAATAATAGCATGATAGTAACAAATAATAACACACACGTTGGCCTGCATGTACTACTGGGATTATGCCTCTATCACGTGACGTCAGTATATACATGACTAATTTAGAGGAGAAATAACACAGGTCTTACGGGAGAAATCTTGTTTTCATTTTTTTTTCGCACTTAAAAAGATATTGAGCTTAAAAAGGTTGTTAATTCCATGTTACTGACACAATAAAAATTACGTAGTTATTTTTTTCGTTTGGTGAATTCGTTTATGAAGGTTGAAACAGCGTTTTGAACGTACCTATACAGAGTGCCGTTATTTTTTAAAGAAAAAATTAAAATTTCACAACAATACTTAATTTAAAAAAAAAACTAGAAAATGTGACATAGAATTTAGTAAAATTTTTTTTAAAGTTATGCTTAGCACTACTGGAATAGCTTTTTTTTTCAATATTTACCATTCATAGTAAACTTAAAAACTTTTTAAATAATTAAACTCTCAACTAGTCTCCTTAGTAATAAAAAT